GAGGCAAGGAGGAGGAGGAGGAACATGGGCGGGGGGGGGGGAGACCATGAGGCACAAGAAAAGCATGGGGAGAGCACCCAGGACTCCTCCTGGGATTAGTGGTTTTGTCTTATTTGTTCCCTGCGTGTCCCTGGGCCCTTCAGTATCGTGGCAAAGAAGTCATCCGACCCCTCCTTCCCCCCTCCTCCTCTCCTCCCCCCTCCTCCCTCCTTCTCCTCCTCCTCCTCTCCTCCTACTCCCCATCACTCCTCCTCCTCCTCCTCTCACCCCCTCCTCCTCCTCCTCCCTCCTCCTCCTCCCTCCTCCTCCTTCCTCCTCCTCCCCTACCTCCTCCCCCTCCTCCTCCTCCTCCCTCCGCCTCCTCCTCCTCCTCCCCTCCCTTCTCCCTCCGGTTTTCGCCCCCTCCTCCTACTCCCCCTCTCATCCCCTACCCTCTCCCTCCTCCTCCTCCTCCTCCTCCTCCCTGCCCTCCTTCGTCCTCCTCCTCCTCCTCCTCCTCCTCCTCCTCCTCCTCCTCCTCCTCCTCCTCCTCCTCACCGGCGGGGAGGGGTTTGGAGTGGCTGCTCCCCTCGCGCCCTCGCCCCGCCGCGAGAGGCCTGGGCGCTCGCGAGGCTGACCTCCCGCGAGGGCGCGGTGCAGCGCACGTCGCTGCTCGAGGCCCAGACAGGAGCCCAGACACGATCGCGTCGTAAAAACTCAGGGCGGGAGGTTTTCGCTATTTTCTGCCCCGCGGGGCCCTCGCCAGGCCTCGGGACAGTTAAAAAACGACTCAGGACGAAAAACCGGTCCCGGGGAAAGGGTCGGGACTTCCGGGGACGCCGTCCTGAAAAATCAGGACGTCGCATGTCGGGGTAGAGGCCGAGTTTGGGGGATCCGAATTTTTAGACCTCCTGCCCTGACGCGTCGATTCAGGAACTAGCCGTCTTCGGTTCGCGAGGGGGCGTTGCGGCCGTCATTTTTTTGCTGGTCCAGGTCCATCTGTTTCGGTCCCAGGCCGTTTTCATTAAGGGGGGTGTACTAAAGGGAGGTTTATCCACCGCCGATAAAATCAGGACGGGCGGTTCTTCCCAATTTTCGGCCTCGGGGGGCCCTCGCCGGGCCTCGGGACCGTCCCAAAACGACTCAGGACGAATAACTGGCGCCTGGGAAAGGGTCTGGACTTCTGGGGACGTCGTATTGGAAAAGTCAGGACGTCGCATGTCTGGGAGCCGAGGCAGGAGAAAACTCGGGCGGGGGGGCGACAAACTCTGAGATCCAGTCGTCCCATTTTTTCCCAAGCCGCGCGTTTTCGTCGGGTTTCGGGCCCCGGGACCCTCGCATATATATATCGGTCCGGCTCGAGAAATCACGCGCAGGGATGGGGTCTAGGGCTCTGGAGGTGAGCCGTCGCGGTGTATCATTTTTGTTGGCACCGTCGGATCTCAGAGTAAGGGGCCCTGAAGGGCCCCCCCTAGGGCCTTCTCATTACGGTAGGTTTGCGTCGTGTCGACCAGCGGCGACCCCAGCGCGGGCGTTCAAGGTTGAACGCCGCCGGCGACCCAGAATCGATCGATGTTGAACGATCGGACGTTGCGGCAGCGGCCGATCGTTCAAGATTGAACGATCCCTGCGGTGTCAAAAACCAACGCTGGGGTCGGCACGACACGAACCTGCCGTACCATCCGATGAAGGTCCCTCCCCGTTGCCATCCGCCGGAAAAACGCTTCTGTGTCGCAGCGTTGGCGAACGCACTGCGCCCTCGGGGTGGCAGACCGAGGCGCGGAATCGCAGGTCGAGCGCACGAGGCGCGGGGGAGGGAGGAGGCGGTCGCGAGGAGTGGCGAGAAGCGGGGAAGCAACACCCCGATCCCCATAAGTGGTGTTAACCATCCGTGAGATGCAAGACTCGAGTTTGCCCGAACTTGGGTTCGCCGCAGTTTGGTGACGGTCCTGGCTTGAAGTTTGACGGTTCAGTGGTCGAGATGTGTTCTCAGCAGGACGTTGCGTCAATGTCATATTCGGTCCCGTCTCTTTCTTACGGCCCCGTCGGACAAATTCGAGTTCCCCAAACTCGAGTCGTACGTCTCCTGTGCGCCAAACAGTCCTTGACGCATGTCCTGCCCTGTGCGCTTCATTCTTTGGGCGCGCTCACTGGAGGGACCTGCTTGCATGGGGTGCTTCTTGCGAGGGCCCAGACATGCGACGTCTAGATGTTTTCAACACTGGGTCCCTGGAAGTCCCGACCCTTTCCCCGGGACCGGGTCTTCATCCTGAGTCGTTGTTTGAAGGTCCCGAGGCCCAGCGAGGGCCCCCCGAGGTCGCAATTGACCAAAAACCTGCCGTCCCGATTTTTTACCACGCGATCATGTCTGGGGGTGGTCCTTCTGCCCTGTGAGGAGGCTGGGACACCAACCACCGGATCGTGGACGTCAGCGACCGTGCAGAGGCGGGGCGCCACGGGCAGGAGCCGAGGAACAGGAACAGGAACAACAACAACAACAACAACAACAACAACAACAACAACAATCATTTTACCCGAACGCTCAGTGTTCTCCCCAGTGCCAGGGTTTTCTTGCGACACCAGCCAATACCCCCACTTCGTGGGGGGGCCGTTCAAGCTCTACCAATAATCCAAACGACTCTTCGAGACCACCCACACCCAGCTTCCCGCCCTATGACGTTGGGACACTTCACTTCGTGGCGTGCGGACGACCCTGGCTACTACCCTGGCGTGGGGTACACACCCACAGAGGTTGATCACATCTGTTACATATGATGTGGTACACGGTACACGTGAGATGGTACGCAGTGCCAAGATAGTTGGTCACATTTTTGGGGCAAATTCGTGGGGATGCGATTACAGAAATACATGTGTTACACTGATGTTATACAGTCCCAAGGATGACGCATGCATTGCTCATAGACTCATGGCGCTATGATCCTAACTCTCAGTGCCCAACGCGCGCGTGCACAGCCAGACGGAGGGAGAGAAACACATGTATACAAGGTTCGTGACATACGCACGGTCCACCATGTTTTAAACGATCGCATGCACGGTAAGTTCTGAAATTATACGTATGTACAAGCAGACATGCGAGGGAGAAAGGGAGATGGCCATCGACAGTTCCAATACGGCTCCAAGCATTGATACCCTTTGCCCGGAGCGCCTGATGCAAATAATACGCACTCTCGCAGTCGGCCAAGGGAGGCCGCGACAGCTCAGGGCCATACTGCTCGTGAAGGTCTTTCGCCGTCAAAGCCATGATCCAAAAACACAGGCGATACCTTGATCCGAGATGGCTACGGATATGTGCGTCAGCAGTCGGGGGCCTTCCTGGGGCCGCTTGGGGTCCTCTTGGGGAAGGGGGGAAGCCTCCTGGCGCGGTTTGGGGTCCTCTTGAGAGCCTTTGGGGGGCTCCTTGGAACCATCTTGGGGCCTCTTGGGGGCTTATTGGACCCTCACGGCGGACTCTTGGGGCCTCTAGAACGCCTCCTGGGGCCATCTTGGGGTCTCTTGGAGCCACCTTGGAGCCTCTCTGGAACCTCTTGGGGGCCTCTTGGAGTCCTCTTGAAGCCTCTTGGGACCATCTTGGGCGCCTCTTTGGGCCTCATGGACGCCTCTTGGGGCCATCTTGCGCGCCTGTTGGGGCCATCTTGGGTTTAAAAGATTCATCAAGAGACCGCGAATGGATTTCGAGATTTTTCGGATGAGAAAGTAGTGCGTTTTCATATGTTTTCTGAACATCGCATCTTGAAATTATTGAAAACCCATTGTGTTTGGCAGGATTTCGACATGCGCGCGCGGCGGCCGCGCGCATGCGCACTTCGTCTCATTTTTTGCAAGGGATGGTGGCCCTCGCAGGCGCGCAACCGTTGTTGGAGAAGTTCAAAGCACCTGAAGAAGTAGCACGCAAAGACCCTTTTGACAGAAATGTTTAAAAAGTGGTGTGTTTCCTATGAGTCCGCAAGAGCGCGCGGAAGGACATTTTGACAATTTTTTCTTAAAAAACCATTGGGTTTTTTATGTTTTTATGTTAAAATCGTTACGAAACCTAAGGTTTTGGAAGGATTTCGTCTTGCGAGCGCGAATGTCCACTTGACCTTATTTTTGTGCAAGGGATTCTTGAAATTTGATCAACTAAGAACAAGAATTTTCATTTTCTATTGTTTTTTGCAAGGGAAAACGAGCGTCAACAAAAAACCGGATCCGGGGGTAATCCACTTTTCTGAAGCTTTCGCAGAAAAATGATGAAAATGTAGCTGCGGCCTAGGTTTTGGGCGGGGGGCGTGCACCAGGGGGTCCAACAATAATAATTTTTTAGAAGTAATAGTGTTCAACAACAGCAGCACCAACAACAGTGGCAGCACGAGCGTAAGCATTCTCGGAAGTCCGCGCGGACTTCTGGGGGGCTGCGTTGGGCTTGCGACGCCTGGCGCGCCGACACGGAAGTCCGCGCGGACCACTAGGACGACGACGACCACGACGACGACGACGACGACGACGACGACGACGACGACGACGACGACGACGACGACGACGACTCAGAGGAGGAACAGGTATTTGTCCTGCTACCCTTCCTTCGCTTTCGCCTTTTCGGGCCTCCTGGGAGGCCCTCGTCGCCACCGCTGGAGTCGCCTCGCAATGCTGGTCAGAGTGTATCCTGGGAGAGGTCCGTGGAGTAGCGGGAGGAGGAGGAGGCGGAGGGAGGAGGAGGAGGAGGAGGAGGAGGGTGAGGAGGAGCTTCTGCGCCCCCTCCGGAGGAGGCGGCAGCCGCGGCCCCCGCCGGGGAGCAGGAGGGGCAGCTTCGGTCCGTCTGAGCCTTCGGGCAGCTCGTGCTCACCGCTCTCCTCCTCACCAGCGGTGGGGCGCGGCGGGCAGCCCTCGGGGCACTCCCGGGGACCTGCGCCGCCGGGCTCTCCGTGCTGGCCGCCTTGCCCTCACGAGCAGGGGAAGGCGGCGGTCAGCCCCGAGGCACTCGCGGGGACCTGCGGCGCGCCAGCGGGGCCGCGGGTGGGCCCTCCGTGCGCCGCCGCCTTGCCCTCACGAGCAGGGGAAGGCGGAGGTCAGGCCCGAGGCGCTCGCGGGGACTGCTCCCGACTTCTCCCGCCCTCCCACCAGCGGAGTGGTTGCGAGATCTCTCGCGGGGCCCTTCCTCGTCTTTCTTCTGTTCGCTCTGCCGTGGCGTTCGCTTCCCGAGGGCACACAGTATCGAGACACTCTGAGGGCGTTTGCGCAGTGATCAAAGCGTCTCTGCACGGATTCCGGTTCCAGTGTGCCGTCGGTGCGCGCAAAATTGAACCATCCATCTTCTTATCCGCGTCCTTCTTTGTTTCCTCCTTCTCCCTATCGTTCCCCCCTCTTCCTGCACCCAATCATCTTCCCCCTCAAGTTTCCTCGGCTTGTTTTTCCATGTCCTCTTCCTCCTCGTGAAAAATATGAAGAAGTTACCTTCTGATTGCGCTGTGGAAAGGGTTTGGTTGGAGGGGTCGGACGTTAGAGATGGCCTGCGCGCACCTAGCTTGCCTCCTACTCCCCCTCCCTTCCTCTTATCACTTCTCCTCCTCCTCCTCCACCTCCTCCTCCTCTTCCTCCTCCCCCTTTGTCCCCCATGTCCCGTCCACCATCCAACTTTTCTTCCCTCCCCGTCTTCTCGCTCGTTTCCCCCCTCCTCTTATCCTTCGCGTACCCCCCCTCCACATCCCTATTCTCATTCCCACCTTCCCCTCCTTTCTCTCCGTGCCCCATCTTGATATCTGTCCGCATTCCTTTTCCTTCTGTAGTTGCTCCTCGTCCAGAAGTGCCTAGGAAGGGCGAATTCCCAGACGGCATCGGCGCGCCCGGATTAATAGGTTGACCCTGCCAGATGAAGGGTACCCTTGTGTCCTGAGCCTCGCGGCGTCGCGACCCATGCTTCCTACACTCCTATGGCAATGTGGCCCTCGGAAGGGTCTGGTGTCCTCTCGCGTGTCCTATCCAATCAAGGCCGACTGTACCCGAGAGATTTATGGAAAATCCGATCACCTCTGGACGCAGCCGTGCAACTGGTGGACACCTCCCCCGTTCTCCCATTCGACCGGCCCGATCCGATCCGATTGCGATATTCCGACGAGCCGGTGCGGCCCAGTGTTTGCACGGCCGCTCCACTTTCGACTCCGTTCCGATGCTGCCCGCTCCGACGCGCGTCTCGTTTCGATCCGGCTTCCCGATCCGATGCTGACTGATCCTGCCTTCTCCTCCGCCCTTCCCTTCTCCTCGCCCTCCTCCTTTGCCTCCCCTCCTCTGTGAAGTTGTCCATGCGGTTCGTCTGGTCCTCCTTTTAATATTGGCGCGGTCCCCCCTCCCGCGCTCGCTTGCCCGCGCCGCTCTGGCTCCGCGAGCGCCTTTATAGCCTTGCAGTGCTGGGCCAATGTTCCACCACCACCTACCACAGGTAGGAGGAGGAGGAGGAGGATGAGGAGGAGGAGGAGGAGGAGGAGGAGGAGGACCTTCCCATCCTCTCTTCTTCTCCGGCCTGCCTATGGTAGTGGTGGTGGAAGACCGGCCCGTCTTGCAGTCATGGTGCTGCCATGAAGAACGAAAGGGACGGAGCAGACGCAGCGGGCGCGTTCCTGGTCACCCCAGGCCTCGGCCACGAGGCGGTTCCCCGACCTACGACCCGAAAGCCAGAGCCCCTCCTGAGCCCAACGTGGTCCTTGATCCGGCACAACAACAATCATTGAAATAGTGTCCCCCCCGTTGGGGGTATATCTTCCTCACCTGCCGCGTGTATATATTTGGCGCAGCCCATAAAATTGGATCGCCGCTCGCGGGGCAGCGCCAGTCGACTAGAGGCGCGGAGTTTCTAACCATTCTTATCGTGCGCAGGCACAGCTTGGCTCTTGTCACGGTGCACGCTGATGCCAGCTATGTCGTGGACGGGTTGTTTTCCAGAGGCCGCGAGGCCACTTGTGCTGCGCGCCATTCTTGAGCGTTTCTGTGGAGACTCGTATTGGATGCTGTTGATGACCTCGGTGGTCTTGGCAGTTTTGGATTCACAGTTGGCAAAGTGAAAGATCATGGTACGTTGCGCGATGCCGAGGGCGGCAGGCTTTCACGTTGGGAGAGGAAAGGCACTCTTGAGGCCGACCAGGGCAAAGGCTGTCGCCATGCTATACTCGCTGGCCACTCCTGACCGTGAACGAATCCGCCGCGCGCACCTGCTGGTCGACGGCGCCGCTGCCTGGGCGTCCTGCGCTGGGGCCCCTGCCGCGGCGGCCCGGGGCGACGTCGACGCCGGCACGCTCGCCGGGGAGCCTCCCGAGGACCTGCTGAGCCTGACTGGTCACGAGTTCAGAATTGAAGCTGGCTGCTGCTGGCGGTCCAGATGCGGGAGGCATGCAGCCGCCAAGGGCCCCGAGCGCCAGTTGTTCAGCAGGCCGCGCGCCCCGCGGCCGACCCCAGGTGGTCAGACGTCGGGCGCCAAGAGGGCGGCTGCTGCAGCGGGCCTCGGGATTGGCGCCGTTGTCACGATGGCTACTGCGGCTAGCGCTGGGCCGCGGGCTCGCGGCAGCTGTCGGCGTCTGCGACGCCGCGGTCCTGGTGCGCGTTGCTCTGCTCGGGACTTGTTTTCCCTCGCTTAGCGACCGCCAACCACCTCCTTTTTCCCCTTTTCCTCCTCCTCCTCCTCTTCCTCCTCCTCCTCCTCCTCCTCCCACCTACCCGCCCCTCTTCCTCCTCCAACCTACCTGTTTTTTTGTGTGCTGGGTAAGCAGTGGCCTGCGTGAGCCGTCGCGTCTTTATAGCCGCGATCCGAAAACAAGGAATCGGCCCGCAGCCCTTGATCAGCATCAAAGTTACAAAACGACTGCGTGCACGATGGGGACCTACCCGCTCTTCCTCTTCCTCCTCCTCCTCCTCCTTCTGCTCCTTCTCCTCCTCCTCCTCCTCCTCTCCTCCTCCTCTCCTCCTCCTCCTCCTCCTCCCCCCCTCCTCCTCCTCCTCCTGCTCCGCCTCCTCCTCCTCCTCATCCTCATCCTCTCCTCCTTCTCCTTCTCCACCTCCTCCCCTCCCTGCCACTACCCGCTCTCCTTCTCTCCTCCTCCTCCTTTTCCTTTTCTTCCTCCGCCTCCTCCTCCTCCTCGTCCTCCTCCTCCTCCTCCCCTCCTCCTCCTCCTCCCCCTTCTCCTCCTCCTCCTCCTCCTTTTCACAGGCGTCCTCCTCCTCAACAACTTCTCATTCTAGACATCGCTTAGCGCCGCTCCTCCTCCTTCCTTCTCCCCTCCTCCTCCTCCTCAACCTCCTCCTCCTCCACCTCCTCTTCCTCCGCCTCCTCCCCCCCCGTTCTCATCCTCCTCCTCATTCTTTCGCCTCTCTCCTCTTCTCCATCCTCCTCCTCCTCCTCCTCCGCCCTCCCGTTCCTTCCCCTTCCTCCTCCGCCTCCCACTCTGCCCCTCCCGGTTTCCTCCTCCTCCCTCCTCCTCCTCCTCCTCCTCTCCTCGTCCTCGTCCTTCTCCTACGACTCCTCCTACGCCTCCTCCTACGCCTCCTCCTCTTCCTCCTCCTCCTTCTCCTCCTCCTCTTCGTTCTCCTCCTCCTTCTCATCCTGCTCCTCCTCTTCCTCCTCCTCCTCATCCTTCTCCTCCTCCGCCTCCTCCTCCTCCTTCTCCTCCTCTTCCTCCTCCCACGACTCCTACTCCTGCTCCTACTCCTACACCCACTCCTGCTCCTCCTCGCACCTATCCTGTCGTTCTTTTCCCCTCCTCCCTCCCCTTCGCCCCCGCCGCAGGAGACGGCGGGGCCGCGCAGGGGCCCGCGGCAGGCTGGGCCGGGCAGCTCGCCAAGAGGGTGCGGTTCAGCGTGGCGAGCACAGACGGCGGGGCGGGCGGGGCGGCGGCGACGACAACCAGAAGGAGGAGTATGGTAAGTATGGTCTGGTATAGTCGGTTTGGTATGGTATGGTGGGTATGGTATGGTAGGTGTGCTGTGGTAGGTATGGTATGGTAGGTAGGCGTGGTATTGGTTTTGTACCCATTGGTATGGTCTAGTAGGGAGGCGGGAGAAGAAGAAGGAGGAGAAGGAACAGGAGAGGGTGTTCCAGGAAAACAAGAACCCCACTCAGGATGCGGGGAACAAGAACCTCACTCAGGGTGTGGCGAAAGAAGTTAAGAGAAGATGAGCACCGAGGAGGGCGGATGAGGAGGATCCAATAGGAGCGAGGAGCGAGAATGATCGATCGTGGGCGTGCGCAGGAGACATGGCGCCGTATCTATTCGTAGTTGTTTTTGGTAGGCATGTGTTCCAGCGATGGGCGCCATATTGAACCGTATCTAAACATATCTAAACATATCGATTCGCATCTAAAAAATGACCCAGTATCTAAAATTGGGAAGAAAACATATCTCCCGTACCGAAAAAAGTAAGACATCGTGTCTAAACGCATCTATTTTTGAAACATATCTATTCGTATCTAATTTTCTGTACGAAAGCGCTGTAAAACACATGATTCAGGATGTAATTTTAGATACCATGCGGTCCTTCCGAATGCAGTTGCCGCTGGGGAAATGAGCAACCCAAATAGATGTTCAGAGGTGTCTTCCAGGGTGGGGGTCCCCGGACGAAAAGTACCCCGGCAGACTCCCGGCAAGTCCTGTTCAAGGATGCCTGAAGTTTTTTCGGAGCCCCGGGGGGTCCAAATCGGTCCAAGAGGGCCCCAAGCGGTCCCCCAGACGGTCCAAGAGGCCCCCGAGACGCCCAAAGAGCGCTCCAAGACGCCGATGATGACCCCAAGACGGCCCAAGAGGCCTCCAAGTGGCCTCCAAGAGGCCTCACAAGAGGGCCCGACAGGCCAAAATGATGGTTTTGGAAGGATTTTGGCCTTGTCGCCTTTTCGGCCATCCGATGCTCCAAGACGGCCCAAGAGGCCCCCAAGAGCGCCCCAAGACGGGCCAAGAGGCTTCCAAGAGGGCCCCAAGAGGGCCCAAGAGGGCCCCGAGACGGCCCAAGAGGCGCCCAAGACGGCCCAAGACGGCCACAAGATGGCCCCAAGAGGGTCCCAAGAGGGGGACCACGAACCGAAAACTCGAGCCTTCCGCCCCAAGAGGGCCCCAGGAGGCACCGAGAGGCCCCCATGAGGCCCGCAATAGGCCCCAAGATGCCGCCAAGAGGCCCCCAAGAGGCCCCAGGAGGCCCCCAGGAGGCCCAAAAGAGGCCCCAAGAGGCCCCAGAAGTTCAAAAATGCCTCCCAGGCGCCCCCGAACGGCTTTTCAAAAGGACCCCAAGAGGCCTCCCAAAGAAGCATTTTGACGACGACCCTGTTTGGCCCCAAGAGCAACACAAGATGCCAACGACTCCTCCTCCTCCTCCTCCTACCACTACTTATCTTCATCCTCCTCATCTCCTTCTCATCCTCTCCTCCTCCTCCCCTCCCCTTCCCCATCCTCATCTTCCTTCTCCTCTTCGGCGGCGCCACAATGGCCCCAGTGCCCACGGCGAAGCAGTAGCGATCATGCAACATGGGCCGGCGGAGTGAGCCAAGCGATTGAAGAATTATTATTTTGATTTCTACTACTACTACTACTACGACTACTACTACTACTACTACCACTACTACTACCACTACTACTACTACTACTACTACTACTACTACTACTACTACTACTACTACTACTACTACTACTACGACTACAACTACGACTACGACTACGAATACGACTACGACTACGACTACCACTACCACCACTACTACTACTACTACTACTACTACTACTACTACTACTACTACTACTACTACGACTACTACTACTACTCTACTACTACTACTACTACTACGACTCTACTACTACTACTACTACTACTACTACTACTACTACTACTACTACTACTACTA